ATAGTCAGGCACCTTACTGACAACTTCCCTGAGAAAATCAAACACGTTGTATCTCTCGACACAATTTTTTCTGCAGAAAATCAACAATTTGATGAACGTAGATGTAGTATTATAAGAAGTAAGTGCTGAAAATAAGGGAGGCTGGAGAAAAATGTTACGGTCATAAGCAATGGTAACAAACCAAAAAAATAGTAACATCCTATAGTAGTGATAAGCAATGATGTTTGAGCGATCGACTTACAGGTGTAATGAGCTCACGGTCTTGGCTCCTCTTTGAAGGGTAATTTCATAAGTATTATCACAAAGGTCTTGCAAGAATAATTCCAAAGCTTTTGCTGTAAATAGTAAATGAAAAACTTAGTGAAAAGAATTATTACAACACAACTCCAAATTGCAGGTTATATGAGCTAATATGGCTACTCACAAACTAAGACAGGTACTGCCAAAGCGATCTTCCCAACATCCTCGTCAGCTTGCATTATCTTTTTTATGCGCGCCTGAAATTTGGATAACACAATACAATCATTTATAGAGACAATGAAACAATGAGGTCCAAATGGAAGTTCCAAACTCAGGGAATAAGGGGAAACTAAAGTATTTATGAGATCCAAGCATGATGAGGTAATCGATCCTCACTAACAAGTTTCATAACTATCCATCAAAAGAAACACTACGCGAAATGGTAAAACGCAGAAGGCACCAAGAAAAACCTAACCATTCGATATAATCACAGAACACAAAGCAAATGGGAATTTCAACTCAGTGATCAAGAAGTAGTACAGCTTTTTCAACCCAAGAGATGACAAAATCATCAAAGCTACTGAAACTATATCATTTAAAGCCATGATTGGATTAAGCTATAACTGATCCAGACGAGTATACCTAAACTTCCTCTCGAAAATTTAGCAATTCGGCATTCAATAGAAGGGGCCTTGATGATGCAAGCCACTAAATAGAAAATACATCTCCCAAATAAGGACATCGAAACAGAGACACATAAAAATACGAACTTTCTACAGGGGAGAGTTTAAGCCAAAGCGATCCAGTACCACAACAAATCAAGTTCTTCTTAAACATAAATTCGAATTTCAATATCGTAGAAAACGAAACAATCGAAACCGGAAGAGAAGAAATTGGGAAAAGGAAAAACAAACGTACCGCAGGGAAACGAGTATCGAGCTTCTTCCTCATGATGATGATTTTGGATCGTGGTCAGAAATT